CCCGCAATGACAACTCAGTCATTTCGTCAAGTCCAAACTATCATGTTTCGTCTTTTCCAATATATTTTGTGACCCCTTGTCTCATTCTGCCTCCAGTCGTACCTCTTACATCATCACGTACCATTTTTTACGCTTCATTTGATATGGCGCAATCTCATCGTGTTCAATCGATTCGAACCGGCAGATTCACATTTATTCAAGCTCCAACAACAAAAGATGGATGGAGAGAGCTGGAAGATTTGTGATCTGATCGTCGGACAATACGCAATAATGTTAGGCTACATCAGAAGCGTCGAGGCATCTTCTATATGGTGCGATACGACTGTTTTGTGACTAGGTTGTCGTTTATATACTTTATAAAATAGGAGATGAAACCTAGCAGAAATACGCAATTGTAAAGGAACGATCATAGACATGCTGCCAATCGTTTATACAGGAAACATCGGCAGTGCATATTTTTGTCTCTGTATAAATAATGATATCTTCCCCCCCTCCTTTTGGTGCATACTGCCATTTTAGGATAACATCCTAATTTTGTCGCGATTCAACTATCATATACAAAAATTATATGATTTATTGATTTTTACAGCATCATGACTAGATTGTGTATGTTCATCATCCTCTCGGCATTTTGTTGTGCGAAAATAAATATTTATCGCTAAGCAAAATATATAATATTTAGAGGTAATATTTATATAAATAATTTTTGCGGATATCATCGAAGTATTCCGTTGGCCAAAACCTTTTTCGTAGCTGCTGATACTCTACCCGTGGACTAATTAAGGCTATAAAACATCAGCCGATAAACTCACTAATCAGTTCCAGATGCACGTAATGTGTGATGATTAAGGTATTAGAAGACATTGTTCGTGGCAAATTTTAAAAGATGATGAAGGGATATGTTCCCTGGAAAAACATAGTACAGGCAAGGCCCGACCTGACATGATTGTTCATTATATTGACAGCTTCACAGGTAGAAAAAGAGAGACGGATACCATGCAGGACGATCATTCTGTCGAGACATATGGGACTGGAAGATAGAGTTGACATGAGGAACCAGCATATGGTGATAGGCGGACTGGACGTGCGCCATGTAAAACTTGACCTGGTAAGGTTGCAGTGCCGATGGTCTACATGTCGTAGTGTTAACGTAAAAATTAACACTGGACATATTTTATGTTTAATTTTAGCCTACTTTGCACGAGTGTATTAACACACAGCTTTTAACATGATGTGCCAAGGTACGTGTTTGTGGTAATGTGACTTAGAAGTAAGACTTAGTACAAAATTTGTCTGAATTACTTGACGATTATACCTTGGGCTCTTATTTATGCGTTCAGCAAAGAGCTAACAATAAGGTGATCGATTTTCGCTGCACTTTCAGTGTCCGCGAGATTTTGTGGCGCCTAATCACACTGATTTCAGTATCATAGCTTGTACTATTTGCAATTTGAAGGTAGAAAGCCCCGTGGAAATGACGAATTGTTACCTCTTTCGATGCGATATCATCATATCCGGTAATTGCTGAGCAGATAGGCCGATTGTAGCCCATCAATAAAGTAACTACGTGTAAAATCTTTGTTTCGTGAGCACTGACAGCAGATCAGACTTGCGTCATTTGTGACGCTTGATTGACGTAAAGTTATAGCATAGCGCGTTTCTACTTTGTAACGGGCACCAATGCTTGTACTGACATAGTACAAGCTGCCTATCCTGAATGCAGTCTGGGCAGACGGTTGCCTCGAAAGATCACGTGCACTGCACGAACTGAGGGAGGGAGGTGAGACCACTCAATGACGAAAAATACAACTGCATCTAATCTCTCGTCGAACTCTCGAAATGTACCGTGTAATGGGGTAACTGATACATGAAATCACCGTTCTGAGAAATGGTATTTAAGAATATTATGTTGAATATTATGTTAGCAATATCTCCAAATACAGTGATATTGTTGAGATGAACTAAGGGTCTACTCATTGGTTGAAATTGTGTTTATATCAACCCACCAATCGCTGCTAGACGCGCGCAATGGGTGGTGAGTAGACGTCGGCATAGATTTGGTAATATTGATATGATTGAGTTAGGACAGATCAGACACAAGAGATATTGGGCTTACTTTTATTAATAACGGTTTTACTTTTGCTACGACCAAAGTCTTCGTCGTAGTCTTTTACCCTTCCTCTGTGCAGTGTATAAAGGTAGAAGGGCACTGAGCTTCGTTGTTGTCAGTAAGAGTTGACTCCGTACTGGTAGTCCAGTACGTAGCTGCTGGTGCCACGTTAGATACCGCTTTTGCTTCACTGTAAGCACATTAAACAATACGTTTATGGCTACCTGCTCAGCACCCAAACCGCGCATCTAACAACGATTGAAAGTTTAATCGGTTGATATAATAGCCGATATCAGCCAATGAGTGCAGCAGCACTAAACGTTACTTTCGACGATAATATTTCTTTGATATTTACTCGGCAACGTAAATATTAGAGAATAAGATCAACATAGATAATATTCCTATGAACCCATTTTAGTGTCAATGACGTGTAGCGGGCTCGCCCTGTTAACTCTTGATTTGATACGTCGTGGGAAATGATGGCAACTCAGCGTTGAGTGTATTGTAGGCCGGGTGTACGTACATTGTTAGCGCGACATTTCGATATACGGGTCAAGTACTTTATGTCAGGTGTCGTGTTCTTAAACGGGTCAGTTACTCGTACCGGGTGTCGTGTTCCAAGCAATTGTTGGCCATAATGGATGTCAATGTTAAGGGCTCGCACATGCCCATTGATCGAGTCTCAGTTGGCGAACGCCGATGTCGGCGATAGCACAACACGTGCTTGCAAAGGATCCTTGTATAGACATATTGATGACACAAAATGCTTGTGCGCCGCATCATCGACGAAAGTATCAGTGTGCTTTCCTTCGTTGACGATGGGTACATCACTGACAAGCTGGTGGCGCGTTCGTACTTCAAAACCATGGCCAACCATACCGCCGTACAATTGCCCCATTAGTGAGCGTTATCAAGCAACGAAGACCTCATTTTACAGTCTGGGTCACACGGTGCATACGCCTGTCAGAGACTTTACTTTGAATGTAGTCGGCTATTTTGCGTCGCTTGCTACACAGAGAAACTACACGAGTGCTTCGACTTTATGCATCTGAGCAATGGAATTGATCGGCGCTCCTTGTGTTCCTATCTTTCGATCTCACTACATGTTCATGTACTTATTGGTTCGTCCACTGAAGCATGATCGACTACGCTACATGATGAGCCTTTTCAACACGAGACGTCAAGCGAGCACAATTGTGACCACCGCAACTGTCCCGCTGTTTCAAGACCCAGCCGGGCATTTCACCAAGCACGGAGCATGCAGCTATTGAGCTATAGCCACGCTTGGTATGACCTGCGAGCCTCAGTGGATAAACCAAAGCTGGAAACGGCGTATGCCACGACCAAGGTGTAATCTGCGCGTTAGCCAACCATGCGATTCCAGGGTCGGCCTGTCGTGTATTCATACAGAAAGCACCAATTGATTCGGGAAGATGCCATCATATACGACGGTATCACGTGTCCGGTACCATACGACGCCGGGTCCGCTTTGGCCACTGAGAATCGAAACCCGCGGCTACCTATGTTCGCGCTAGTGCTATGCGGCAATTGGCGACGAGCTCAGCCTCTTCTAGCGATCAGAAATGCCTCATCGTCAGTCATGTTCGATCTACGTAAGCAACGTTCTCGACGCACTTGTTGCCCCTATAACGTCCTCACTGATCCGTGAGGGTTGCTCAGTTAAGGCCATTGCAAGCCAGCATGATATCATCTCAATGCAGCAAGATTTCTTAGGCTGGACGGCGTTAACTCAGAGTCAACTACCGGACGTGCGTTGGTCGAGATCGAGACGCACTCAGCTGCTTTTTTCTCTCGGTTGCTGGTACCGCTTGCGCAGAGTAGTTTAACAATGCAGCGTGAAGGACGTTGCTTGCGTCTAGAAAGTTGGGTGGGGTCCTGTGCTATTGTACCAGCGAAATGCGGTAAGTTGAAGTGCCCGGACGAAATTAAAGTCGGTACCGGAGAATTCGCCCACATCGTTACGTGATTTGAAACCGCGCAAGAGCTCAAAAGTGATGGGACGGGTCTTTGAGGAGTTCGTGGACAGCTCCTGTGTCTTTCGCTGCGCCGAGTGTCACGCGCACTTGGCTCGCAACGAAGATATCATTTCGAAGGTCACGAACGCTATCACCTCATATGCCATCGCGCTCTGGTCGTTTAATCCTCATGCTCGTGCACTTTTCTGCTCTCGATTCCTCCTGTTTCGACATATTTGCGACTCTTACGCAGAAATTCCAAGGCACGAGCGGCAAAGCCTATCTCTTTGGCGCGGCGTGAGTTGGCAGCCTACTACTATTTCACAGCCATTCACGGCTTTTCTGCTCATGCAGCTACTTGTTCGAATGACCAGAGTCAATGTCTGTACTGGTCCACCTGAAGAGCGAATGCTCATGACGGGGCTACACGTCGTGCTGGATCTCTATTGCAACACTTGCTGGAGTGTCGTAGGCTGGAAATACGTACGTATACGTACTGCATCAATCTTCCATTTGGATTTCCGTGACTGACGCAGCGTATCTGACTTCGTTATTCTTTGCACTTGCGTTCCTGGGCGCCGAACTCTTTGCTCTTCTTGCGGGAGGCTGGGCCTACATACAGAAAGAAGCACACAACGCATCGGAAAAGTACAAGGAAGGCAAGTTCATTCTCGAGTTAGCCAAGACGGACCAGAAGCTCTGAGAGCAGTGCGGTGCTTACGACAACGAGTCAAGAGCCAAGCGAAAGCGAGGGCTCCAGATACGGCGTGCACGATACACAAGAAGCGAGCACAGCGGAGTATACCCGCGCGCACGTCCTTGCTCACTCAATCAAATCCGTCTTCGTGTATGTGCGTATCCATGTACTACTACGTTCACCTCATCCACCACTTTGCTTTCTTTGCTCAAGCTTTTTACAAAAAGCTACTCGTGTATCGTTGCTGTTCCAACTCGCTCAGGGCATAGTAGTGAGCTTCAACTTGGTTGCCACCGAAAAATCGGCCGTGCAGCGCCTGTTTGGCTTTGAAAGCTCCAGCTGCGTCCTCGAACAAGACAAAAATGCGCACGTGGTCGGCCAGCTCGTGGATTTCCACGTTCTTGACGACACCAAGCTTGCCACACTCGACACGCACCTCGTCTTCGAGATCCTCGTCGACTTCACCGCACTTTACGAGGTTCACTAAGCAGAGGCAACAGCTGTCGTTGCCATCTGCGACGTCCTTTACACCTTCGACGTCATCTTCAGCAAACATTGCCATTTTTTTCGGCTCAATCACACCATTGGCTCCATTCACCGTAGCGCCAGGTCCACTGCGCACTATCTTGTCCCGACTCGTGGCAAGATTGATCAGCACCGCTGCCTCGCTCGCCTTGCCCACTTTCAGGGCCTGACCAGCTAGCTCGAAGCCATTCATGTGCTGGATCGCATTGAGGGCGCATTTCTCATCCACAAACTCCATAAAGCCGTACTCGCGGTGCTGTAAATACATATCCAGGTTGAGTATATGATCACAAAGGCCTACCAACAACGCGCGCGTAACTTTGCTTACTATTCCAGCTTCAGCGGGCGGAATCGCTGCCATGACACAAGCGCGAATTTCGCCGAACGGAGAAAAGATACTCTGCAGAACCATTTCCATCAGAAAACATGCACTGGCCAAGACTTGCATCTCATTACCGTGCACTTACCTCTAAGTGCTGACTGTTCAGCTCCACACGAACATTGGCAACATAGACGCACTTGGTGGGAACACTACATCAGTGACAAACATTAGCAAACGACGTTCCAGCAAATCTTACACGTCAGCACTTACTTCTTGATCGCCTCCTGGCCGATCGAAAGTGAATCGTTCGGGTTCGTATTTCCACGATGCGGTCGGCCCACCTACATGCATGAGCGACAGCACGGTCAAAGCAATAGCACGTTGCGGCAGCAAAACACTCATCACTGAAGTACCCACGCGCATCGTGCGATTGGCCAACGGTGTTCCATTCAGCACTTGCACAGCACTCTCAGCTGCTAGAACGTCTTCGTACTCTAGAAAGCAGAACCCTTTCGATCGCGATGCACTGCACCGACGGTCCACCCACATAAACAGAGTCAATACAAACATCATTACAACACAAAACACGGAAAAAAGAACAGTCTGCAGCTGTCTCCTTGCCCTGGCTCTAGTGACAGGTCGATCGAGTGGATCACACCAAAAGGTGCAAAAGCGTTGCGAATGTCCTCTTCCTTGAGGTCGTAGTACAGGTTGCCAATGTACAGCCGACGCGCCAGATCATTGGGCGAGACCTTGGTACCAGGCAGGTTCAGGGCCAGCAAACTGGCTTGAGCCAACGCTCGCGCTTTGGCCGCTTGTGCGTCTAACTGGCCGCCAGTGTCCTAAGCAACAGCAGACACACGAATATGAAACTAAAGCACGGGGACAAGAGCATCAAATACCAAACAGCCGCCACGTCGTTCCATTTGAGCGTAGAGCAGTAGAGCTGATCGCGATACACAAAGGCACACACTGGAGACTATCACGTAACAAAGATACAGTCTACTCACAATGAGAGGGCGACTGACTGCACCTTTTGTCAGCGCCTGCAGCTCCTCGGGCGCCGACTTCTCCTGGACGACGCTCGACAGCCGCTTGACAATGTCACTCAGCGCTTGGGGACCCGCAGCGACAGTCTCATTCGATGCAGCGCGAGTCGTTTCCTTGTCGCTGACGCTGTCGTGGTCCCAGCGCGAGCGACGCGACCGCTTCGGGTGCTCGTGGTCGTCGCTGTCGTTGGTCTCGTGCACGCGCTTCATTATTGTATCGGCTTTATTGCGTGTAGTCACGGTAGATGTGGTACTCGTAATATTGCAATACCCCTTTGTCGATCGAAAGTCACGGTACAATCTCACAGTTGATTGACACAACAGATGGTCGGTCGACTGACCGACTGTGCGTGCGTGCGTACGTTCTCCACGACTGCCTGCATTGTTTTCACTTGCTACCTACCTACCTACCTCCTACCTTTTACCTGATACTGTCGTCGCTCTTCTTCCCTTGCAACCAGCTACAGACGGTGCTAGCCATACTCAGCTGTGTACGACCATGGCCATTTTCACTCTACCCACGAATATCTTCTCGAGGGTTTAGCAAACTCCGGCGCGACACCGATAGCGAATACAGAGTGAATTCCTCTTCTTCGTCTGCAAACATATCGAGGTTCTCCGTGCCAAAGTTGTTGCCCGGTGCGTCCACCTCGTCAACGTGAAAGCCGCCACCATTTTCTACTGCTGTCGGTGACTCGATCGAGCTCAGTCGCGTCAAGCGGCGGTTCATCTGCATCAACGTGCGTGGAGACACCATGCCGTGCGCCAGTTCGTACAGCTCGGCATTCGACAACGCACCGCCTTGCGGACCCCTCGCTGTTGAGCGTCCTGGAGTAGCACTGTTCGTGCTGCTTCTGTTTCGTGGCGTGAGGTGAAACAGATTGAACGGCTCGACCTCGGCGTGCGCACCGCCATGAGCTACAAAACACGCGCGGCAGTGCCGCACTGGATGCAGCAGACCGACTTCGGGAATCGACATGCGCTGCGACGCGCACTTGGCACACATCCACTTTCCACAGCGCTTGCACGAGTGCGGTCGACGAAAGAGCTTGAACGGCATTTTACACGTCGGGTCCTGACAGTGTGTGATAGTCTTCTTGTCGGGCTTCTTTAGCTTCTGTGACAAAACTAGATAATCGCGGCCCATCTCGTGAATCACGTCAGCCGCGTTCGACAGCAGCTCTTTCCACAAGTCCCGATCCTCCAGTTTGGTGACGCTAAAATGCATCTCCTTTGCCAATACCTTGCTCTCCTCATCGTTTTGCTGATGATCGTACGCTGTGATATAGAGACCATGGTGGCCTACTGACGAATGGGTTTCATCCTGACCATGCGTGTAGCGGCTGCGGACAGATAATGGAACGATCCATTTCCACTTGATCGCGTGGGCTTCATCGACTTCACTTGGATAAAAGTACCACAGCTTATGTGAAACGTATTCGTACACAACAAGCGCTTTCTTCCACTCACGTCCACCGTAGCGCTGTTTAAATAGGTATCCAAAAGCGCAGCCTTCACCCTCTAAGAAGGAGGAGCCAAAGCCGTGCGCGGTGGAATAGCTGGGCCGACTGATGTGGTTGATAATTTCTTCTTGGAACGTAGGATGTGCGGGTGCAGCAAATCCATTTGACATGGCTGTCGCGTTCAGAATATTCACCGGAGGTGTTCCAGCAGTCAAGATACAACTGGAAGGATCCTTCTTCGCCAGATCGTCCGATGCCTTTACCAGTTCCCGCCATACTGGATTGACCTTCATATCGCATTGGATGCGTTCCTGACTCCTCGTTTTCGGATCCTTGTAGCACATCTTTAGGGCTTCCATAATCAACTTCAGATTCGACATCGCATCGGTACCCGCCATGCTAACATATTCCTGTCCCCCATCGTTTTCAGTCGTCGCTCGGTTCAAATATACTTTGCAGAGCAAGGGCGCCAACTTTGCATCCGGTCCCTCTGTCTGCAGAATGCGGCCGATGATTGGGCACCTCCGTGAGCGCTTATTTTTCAAATCACCGATACAAAATACCAGCATTTTGGTGATGCCGCCGAGTAACAAATTCCACATCGGGTATTTCTCATAGCACGTGATCAGCGTGGTAATCACATGAGCACCTACAAACATCCGGTCCAAACGCTTCGATTCGTTCAACAACACGGAATTCAAACATCGAACAACCTGCCAGAGGTGAAAACCCGACGCTTTGCGGGTATTGAAAGTAATAACTTGTTTCAGAAAAACCATCAGCTCGTGTCCTTTGCGCTCCATACACGTGATAAGGCACTCGCGCAACCGACGGTACTCGCGCACGTTGCTGCGCCAATCATCACTACAAAAGATTTCCAGCTCGTTCAAATCACCGTCAATCACTGCCTGCAACAACGTCATCCACGCTTGCTTTTCTTCTTCCGATGCTGCTGCAAAGTACTTGGTAGATTTTACCTCCGTCGTCATACAATTGTCTTCTTGTCCACTACGACGTTGGGTATGCACCATCGCGTTTGCAGGAGTCGCTACGCTGTGGCGTGAAGCTGATGAGTTCTTATACGCATCTTGTGCTTTTTTCTTCACAGTCACGCTGAAACCAAAATCGTGCCATTTCGAGCTTTGTACACTCTCCATTTCGTCCAGCGTAATCACAATCTGATTGCCTATAGTTGGAGTAAACGCTCGGTCTAGACTCGGGGACAAGTCTGGCTGGTCCTCGCGCAGTGCTGTCATCCGAAGTCCCATCATACAGTTCAAACTGACCTGGCACCGCTGCAGCTCGTTCTTCAGTTTGTTCTTCACTAGCAATTTGCCCTGACGCATAAGATGCGTAGAGCACAGAAAATTGAGGCAATCAATGCCCACAGATGCTGCCGAGTTGCCGCCAGCGCTTCGAGCGTCAGTGAACTCGATCGTCTCAGTTAGCTCAAAGAGGTGCATCAGCATCATGATGCATGTCGGGCGCGGGTGGCCCTGTGACAGCAACATCAGTGACTCGTAAGAAGCCACACTGCCGCGCCGCTGACGTGTCAGCGGTATGCTCCAAAACGTAAGCTCCTTCATCATCTGCACAAATAGTAGCTCCAGTGCCGCTTGGTGCTCCTGCATGAACAAGTGAATAAGACGACGCACCTTGCGCGACGTGTATTTTCGCAGCGCTGAGTTGGCGGTCTCGCGCGAGGCGCCGCAGATCGACACGTACTCATCCTGGCCAGTAAGCTTGTCCAGCGGAATGGTCTTGGCTGAGATGGCCACACCGCGTCCTGTCAAATACGGCGCATGCACGATCTCCCGCAGCAACATAAAAGTGTTTTCAATGCAGTCTCGCTCAAAGGCGTTGCGTGGCGGGGAGAAGGTCACCTGTTTCTGTATCAATTTCTGCATCATGTGCGTCTCAAACAGCGACGTGATAGCCGCCTCCGAGTGCTCTGCGTAAATGAGGTGCAAGAGCAGCGTGCGGATATCGTCGTGGCCAACGTTCGCCAGCAACATGTCCACTGTCGCAGGATGGTTGGCCAAATAGTGCAAGATACAGGCCCCTTTCTGTCCCCGAATGGCAAAGTAGCGCAAAATCTGCGACGCAAAGTTGGCCGAGTCGTGGCTAAAGATACCGTACATAGCTGTTGCGTTCACTTCGGTCGTCAACGGAGCCGGGATGCCCGTATCGTCCGGTTCTTCCACGTCCAAGTCGTCTCCATTGTCCATAATCATTCTCCCACCCTTGATCTCCATCCTGCCCCGTGGCTCACTGTCATTTCTTCCCTTTCCTGCTCCGAGCAGCTGTAGCCCACCATTGACAGGCGACTGCAAAGGGGACCCAACAGCTCGAAAAGAGCCTTTGCTACTCTCGATCTCGGTTGCTAGCGGCGAACCAGCTGACGATCTCCGTCGTCCCGCCACCTGCTGCTGCTGCTGCGGCTGCTGCAGCGCGCCAACGTCCACAGTCTTCTCCTCCTTCTTCTTCTCAATCTCCTCCTCGTGGTCCGCAAAGCTCTGCTGCAGTGTCTGGGCGCCGTCCTTCTCAAACACCTGCACGGCCACTTGAATGAGCTCCTCCATCTCCGCCACCGACTCGAGCCGCTCTTGGCGGCGGGACGGCGTGTCGCATCTCGACGACACGCCGTCCGCTTCTCGATGCAACGTGCGGAAAATGAGGTCCCAGGACTCGTCGCACTCGTGCCGCGCGCCCGTTGCGTCGCACGCTGCAATCGCATTGACCGCACCGCCCACGACAATGAATTGGGTCGCCATCGCCCGCGTGTGCGACGGGTACGACACGTCGAGCGCCAAGCGAATGAGCTCCCGCGTCTTCTCCTGCGAGAACAGAATGCCCCGCAAGCGGTTCGTCATGCGCTTGAACAGCAGCTCGAGCATCTCGAACGAAAAGCTCTCGTTGAGCAACTGCGCGAGCGAATACTCGTCGCTCATGAGGCCGTCCACGAACTTTTCAATGTTCGCGCGCGTCTGTTCGGCCACGTGCTGCCGCTCGAGCTGGAAAGGCGTCTCGGCGTGCGTCGGGGAGGACGGCGTCGACCCGGGAGGTGACGTTGCATCGTGAAGTACCGGCATATGTGTATGAGTGTGTCTGTATGTATGTGCGTTTGTTTGTTTGTTTGTTTGTTGTGCGCGGACGTGTTTTTGTTTGGTTGGGTTTTCTTTGAGGAGCTCCTCCGTCTGTGACGGGAAATTGAGCAATGGTGGAGAAAAGTAACACTTGGTACCGATTCGGTTCTTCTTTCCAGCTGGTACTGGTCGATAGAGTGCCTGACTGCCTGATTGACTGACTGTGGCGTAAGATGCCGGCGAGAAAGTAGTTTACGCGCGGCATGGGATTTGAGAGGGTTTTGTATCAACTCGCAACAGTTTTCGGTATCTATCGAGTCTTGGAAGACGGGTGGTAAATAGTTTGCATTTTCGGCGTGGCGACTAGTAAAATAGTTGTCGGATATGCGAATTACAGGCTTGAGTACCAAGGGATGTTCGGCCTTGACTACTTCCGTATGGATTCACTTGTCAAGGAAACAAGTAGGCTCGACTCTCGTTGAAGTGGTTGCACAGCGTAGCCCAAGGAGTGAGCTGTCTACTTTGGTGTCAGTGGTAGCGTTGCGTGTCTAAGAGTCGGTTTCAAAAAGCAAAGCAAAGAAGCACAGACAAATTGAAGCAGTGTAAGATGCGCAGCATTCGAAATTTGCAGTCCAGATTTGAAGAAAGCCGACAAGCCAGCTGTCAGCTTTACGCGGCTAAAAGAGCAGCATGTGACAAATTACCGCGCGATTCAGTGCGTAGCATTGACAGTGTTCTACAGGCGACGAGAATGTGTGGATTCTTGCTGACAGGATTGGACTACAACAATCACATTTGTCGCACTCGCCACGTTGCTTCGTGGTGTTGAGTATTGCCACGTCGCAGCCTGACCTCAGGTGCAGGCATCTCTTCTACACTTTGACCGCGAAAAACGTGCTGTTGAACGTAGCAAGCCGAACATTGGCGTAAGTAGACAACGGCAAACGTCATTGGCACTCATTGCCAAGGTCGATGGATAGGCTTATGAGCTCGGAGGCCGCCTCTTGTCATCCACTTTGCTTTCGGTTTCGCGTAGTGGATTGAGTCTTGACTGCATTAGGCATTGTCTTGATCGATAGCCTCCAGCCCTACCTCATCGCTGACAAAAACGTTGCTTTCGCTGTCGCGTCTTCACACCACAGGCGAACAACAAACAAATCATGCGTCGCTGCCACGTGAGGATGGGCTGTATATGCACTGCAATCCAGGCTTGGCATGCCAATCCCTTGCGGTGGTTGCGGAATCGTGTGTACGCACTTGCATACGCTTAAGTCGACGATTGACTGACACGATAATCGATGTGCTCAAACAGGATCGATCGATGCCGTCGACGAGGTCGCCGTGATCAATTTGATACTCAGGATGAGCGCTATCCCTGTACGCTTGCGACCGCGCCGAATCAGACTTCCATTGATAATGTAGCGACATCGTGCTTTTCACGTGATGAAGAAGCAATGTTTGTGCGTACGTCGCTAACCGCTATATTCCTAGCATGCCCGTTGACACACGAGGCCCACGACCGTCTTGCAAGTAACTAAGCACGAACAAAAGTGCATCAGTAGCAGCTTTCCACAAAATTTGAAAGTGAAGATCAAGGACCATTTTTTAGTATTCGTCGATGGAAACAGATTGCCCATTGTTGAATGGTATGTGCGCCTCAACGCACACTACTGAAGTAGAGCTGGGTGCAAGCACAACCTGGAAGAATGCGCATAAGTATCACGTAGAGGTCGCCAGGGAGAGGCGAATGTTACCAGTCAGTGCGACGTGGACCAGCATCATTGCAACAAATGCGCCAGTGCTTTGGATGTTGTGGCAAAGTGGGAAGCGAACCGAGGCATGTACATCAAAGTACACCATCTCCTGTTCCGATGATGACAGATGTAAACATGACATCGAATATAGCTGAAAGGATCGTGTGTAGCGTGCGGACAATCCAAAGCACTATATACAGAGGTGGCCGATAGTGATGGCAAGAAGTAGTATGACAGTATGAGTACATGAAAGTGCGAATTTACAGATGCTGCTTTGTCCGTGAGTCTGCGCCAAGCATTCGGCACGATCACGTTCAAGTCTCGCGGTGCCCGTCTCTACATTGATGATACATCGTCAAAACTACCACTCAAGAGATCATGCCTCGCTGCAAAGTGCGAATATCGGATACACACAAGCCGTGTGGCTTTAGCTTAAGCTACTGCATATGCTGGATATGACATAGCCTACAGCAAGTGTGCGAAATTCACAGGGCGTCGAGAAGAAGATCGGGTTGAGCATTCATTGATTCAGCGAAACACGAGGCAATCGCAAATTGCCAGTCCACTTTGCACTTCTATCGATGCTGAAGGCCGAGCGGTGACTGAAAATTACATTGCAGTGCACGGGCTCAAGGCATCCTCGGCTAGGCACATGGAGTGAGGTTGCCACTGCGCACTTTATTATGCTATTCCATATGATCTTTGAGTCTGATGTAAACATTGTAAATGAATAAATTGCGACCCTAAAGCAGCGCCATATCGTTGCGCTTCTGGTAATTCTCTTCATGCTCTTTCTTACATAGACATCGTAATCTCATTCATGACCCGTGCGATCATCATTTGCACACTTGTCAGAGCGATACATCCCTGACAGATATAATGCCTTCTTCGATATCTAATCGTTGCAGTCCGATATTCTTCTGATGCCCTGTAGGAATCATCCACTACGTTAAGTGTGGTGGGTCTTCTATGAATAATGTAATGTCATACAAGAGGAGTACAATTGCAGCTCAATGACCGCTGGTCTTCATATATTGAAATAGAGTGAAATTCGGTAGATCGATGTCGTCGTCCTAGTCGAACTTCTGTATCCAACGCATGACAAGCGTTATAAATCTTGTAACAGGACACGCTCTTGCTCAGGTAACTGAGCAAGACCTTGTATTGATTACAATACAAGGGTGCGTACTCCCAACTTCCCGTACATGTGGCGTTGAGGAAGCGCGAGGAAGTAAACAGAACTCGCAAGCTCTGTTTAAGGTGGAAGTAGAACTGTATTTAATATAGTTAATAAAACTACCTTTGTCTTAATCTAACTATGTTAAACTACAAGTCCCTATGTGGGTTTCTTGCTCATCATTCATTGCGCGCGTCTGGCAGCAATTGGTGGTTCTTCTGGTTGATGTACCGTGTACATCCATCAGCCAGTGGAGCACCCAAAGAATGTTGTCCCTGAAGGCAACATTCTATCAACATAACCTCTTCTTGAGTGATATTGATTGAAAATTATCAAAATAGATAATATTCAGAAATTGGTACATTCGTACCAATTTTAATGTAACGAGCTCACCCCGTTACATCACCCCCTAATCAACAGTCACTACTGCAAGCGTTTCCAATCGATTGGTGTCAGGGTGACCACCGTTAGGTCACTCTGTGGGAAAGGGGGCACTTGTTGGTTCCGGCCAACTCAATCCATCTTTGAGCGCATGGCGAGTTCGCACATGCGCTGCGCGAACAAGGACGTCGATGAAGCGGATGAACGTATGCGTGCAGCCGGAGAGCAAGTGGACCAAGACTCGGTAGCAGGTGCCTCATTGCCTGCTGCTGCTGACAAGCAACCTGCAACACCCGATGTTGCAGGTGCACGTGGTCATCCACGTGCAGATTTTTCATCCGCAGCTTCGGCTGCTGGTGGTAGTCCAATGTACATTGATCCCGAGGTAGATGTGCTCTACTCGGGCAAGTCGGATCCCTCGTCCAACTCGAAGCTGCCCGCAAAGCCCGGTCGTGAGGCTGTGGGTGCGGTTCCGGCGACATCAGCGCCTCGTGGTAGCTTTAACAAAGCTCTTCACCACGAGATGTTCGGTCCATCCGACGAGTCTGAGAACTCGTCATTGGGATCAAACCGATCGCGCTCGCATTCGTATGAGGCGTGTGCGCAACACGAGGGCGTTGGTTGTCGTGATGATGCCGATGACTCTTCGCGGAGGCATCGTAGCCGTGGCAACCCTAGTGATTGCGGCGATCGCAGTGCCGTTAGTTATGCCGGCACTGCGCGAGAGGAGCAGGATCGTGAAGTATTAAAATCTCCTCCTGAGCTTAGACCATGAATGCCTTCTCAGCGCAAACTTAAGCAGTATATGGTTATACTACTGGGAGTTATCGAATCCTTCTATGTGAAATGTCAAGACTCCATGGTCTTGATGTCAGTGCGAAGGATTATCGCACTGAACGTGAGTTCTACATCAGTGTCTTTTTCAGACATCGATGGTACCACGGGAACTATAAATGAGACGAAGTCTCTTTAGTTCAAGCGCGGAACGCTTTCATCGACAACATACAGGATGTTGGCCGTGATACTTGGCTGAACAAACTTATTGCGGCACGCTAAAAGTTTGAACAGACGTCTTTAACTCGTGCCCGATATAAGCTACACCGGTTGTCCCGAGGGGAAGGTTTACCTTGCTTCTCGTGGGGCGAGAATTGTCAGAGTTGTGTTGACAACTATGTCCGCGCTCCTAGGGAGGCGTTTCTCTCTAATCAGTCATATTGGAGGGCGCGCATCTCTTCTGAGATGTATAAAGGGATTGAAACATTGCAAACTTTTTACGAAGTCGCCGGGCGTTCGTTTGAAGATGGTCCTCGTTCGTCAAAGGATTTCTCTCGTCGTACTGCTCGAGAGACCAGGGACATACTTCATCAGCTGAGAGCGGGGCTTCCAGCTGTTCTACGAGGGTGGGTACCCCCGCCACTGGACGAGGCAAGTCGTCCTTGCTTCTGAATCGTCACAATGTTCAAGATACGGTCCACAAGGAAGCGTTTACCACTGTGTGAATCCACCAAAGGATGTGGAGGAGGAGGAGGAAAAACCTCCTCCAATTCATTCGACTCCCCATCTCGATCAACACGAGATGGATCGCGCAATCGACCAATTGCGCGAGGATTTGGAGCACGAGCGGTACAGGCGCTACGCTCTAACCAACTCTGTGTGAAAGCAACAAAAGGATCTAAATGCTAATCTGGCAAAGG